TATAAACTTCTACTCACTGGAATACTTTTCCTGCATCCCCCAAGTTTTGGTATATTGTGTTTTCATTTTCATTTGTCTGAAGATATTTTTTGATGGAAGAGTTTTAGAGACACTTTAAATCTCCACCTGGTAAAGTACAGAGGGCCAGTACCAACAGCACTAGGAGAGTCATTCCTTGTTATTTCAGAAGAATCAGAGCAGCTTAGGTACTGCAGTCCTGCTGTGAATGCATTTCATTCCCTCCGGATTACCTTTGCCTGCCTACCTGGGATAAGTCAATTAATTCTTCCATTGGCTCTTTTGTTCATAATGTCAACAAACTCTCCTGTAGGAAGACTATTGTTGTCTTTGTTGTTATTTTCCCATAAGGAGGAACAAGCCCATTAAGCTGTTTTATTTTTAAGGTCATTATTTTAGTTTTGAACTGCATTAAAAAAAACTTTATTTTTAATCGAAACTTATTTAATATTGTTCAGCCAAAAGCTGAAATTCATGCAGCGAAACAATCTGCCAGTCTGTCTTTTTCTAAACAAAAGTGAAATGAGTGAAAGAGCCATGAAAATACCACATCATGGGTCTTCCCAAAAGACGACCTCAGGTTATGATTAATTCTGTTGATTCGCTCTTTTGTTATTTCAAGAGTGGATTAATGTCCAGTCTTTTCAACAGAAAAAAAAAAAAATGCAGTATAGTTCCTTAAGGTTGTTCTACCTAATGTGCTCTGAAATACATCAATTTAGTAAAATTAACTTAATTATCTTCAAGCAAATGATGTCAGTTGTTCTCTGTCACCAGGCTGAAGGGCTTCATAAACTGTGTTCAGTATCTCAGATGCAGTCGGCTGTAAACGCTAACCAATAAAATCCTGGAAGTAAGAACACCAGGAACACATCTGTAATTAAACAGATTCAATTCTCATTGGCTCCTGCAGTAGAGGAGAACATGTCAGAGGAAATGCAAAACGTCTCGGTAAAACTGAGGGGGAGCAGTACAATTGACGAGCTAGTTATCTCAATAATTTTTGTCTAGAAGTTGGTGGAAACAAAACAGGATGAACATGTTCATTGGAAAAGAAGCAGTAGCCAGTCTTGACAGCTGGGAGAGGGAGGGGTTTGGTGATTCTTGGCGTCATGCACTTGCACTTATCCCTGTCCAGGTGCAGGTGTGGTTGGTCTTGTTTGTCTTCTTTTATTATGATCATGGAGTGATCTTGTCTGAAAAGTATCTGATAAGAAAATTAAAATAGTCTTAATTTTTTTCTTTTTCTTTTTTTTTTTAAAGATTTGTTTATTTATACAAGCACTGGCGTATAGGCCAGAGGCACGGGAGGGTGAGAGTTCACCAGAGACAGAGCGGGGAGCAGAACAGGCAGAAGGACCACAGTACACTGCTCAAGGGAGCAGCGGGCGAGTCAGGAGAGGTCTGCTGCGCCATGTGGGAATCTCCCTGGCCTGCCAGGAATCGAACCTGTGCTACAGTGGCTGCGGACAGCTTCACAGCGCTGCGCTCAATCCACTGCGCCACAGGGGAGGTCCAATTTTTTTCTTTTTAATGACGAATATAACTATTAGTTTAGCTGTCAACCTCACCACAGACCTCCACAGGTCAAAACACTTTGCTTCTCCTTCGGTATTACTGCAATTGCGTGTCCACTTCCTCCCTGAAAGTGAGGAATGACCATCTCTTCTCTGCTCTGTTACATTTGCAGTATTCCCAGTGATACTGTGGACCTGAACCCTACTTGGTATCCAACATGATAATGTTTTTCCTAAATTGGGAGACCCTTCTATATCCTTTCATATCTAATCATCTTTAGATTCATCCCAACACGGGCTCCTAGACTCCCATTGGGCCATAGTGATAAACTCTGTTCTTGTGTCTGTGTGGAGACTGTCTGTTTGTAGTGCTGGCTTTGTGGCTACTGTTGGATGTGGAGTCAGCTGGTGAGTGTTGGTATTTTTCTTACGAGACTTGAAACCATGTCAATGTGAGGTTGGGGTGGTTATGTGTGATTGAATCTGCTTGAGAGGGAATGACCCAATAAAGAAGTTTATATGGAGGGGGAAGCTAACTTGTTCCAAAGAGGTGGGATAGGCTGCTTCCATTGGTAAAAGCCACAGGACTCTGCAGAAAATGCATTCCCTTAATAAGTTTTAAAGAATAACTAATAGCAAGCTAATCATTCACTCCCTCATTGAAACCATCTATTCTTCATGACTTAGTGTCCTACATATTAAAATCTATTTATTTATTTTTAAAGATTTGTTTTTATTTATTTATGTATGTAAGAACCGGGGTGTAGACCAGAGGTGTGGGGGGTGAGAGGATTCACCAGAGACAGAGTGGGGAGCAAAACAGGCAGAGCCACTGAAACACACTGCTGAGGGGAGCAGCAGGGAGATAGGAGAGGTCTGCTGAGCCAGCTGGGTCAGCTCCCTGGCTGGGGATGGAACTCATGCTGCAATGGCTGATGAGAGCTTGATAGAGCTGAGGCTTTAACCCCTGTGCCACCAGAGAGACCATTAAAATTTATGTTTTAAACACAGTTAGACCAACATCATTAGACCCCTCCACCCTTTCTCCCAGCACCACACCCTCCTTCCCTCTGGTAACCTCATTTTGGCTGCCAATGTCCAGTTGTTTATTTTTATTTTGTATTGTTGTTACATTTTGTTTTGGTCTTATATTTGCTGTATGTCCTTAATTTGCATATATAGACAAAATATTTGGTAGCTATGGGTCATCCATAGGTATGGGAAGTGGTCATTTTTGTGCAAGTTTGATGAATTTTAAATAAATGTAATTATCTGTATTTTTCCTTTTCCAGTATCTATCAACATTTAAAATGTGTGTATTGCACCATCAAGAATTTATTCCACAATAATATTTATACTTTCTCCAAAGATAACAAGTATAAAAATGTCCATTGCAGTAAAATGGTAAAAATATAAGCATCTGCTCCAGTGACTTAGATGAAAACGTTTCTATCCAAATGAAAATCCATGAATAATAAGAAAATTAAATATAGAAATATTTCTGGAACCTATTCTTAGGTGAATACAGAGTACTCATCGAAAACGAGAAAAAATACCCAAAAAAACTAACAGTATGTGTTCATAATATAAATTAACCATTAAAATTCTGGAAGATTAAACAACATTTAAATAGAGCACAATTCAGTAGAGGTGGAGAGTAAAGGAATCTTTGAAGTCTTAATTTTTAAATGGCTCCCCTTCCCTTTTTTAAAATTTTTAAATAAAGATTAACCATGTAATTGAGAACGGCAATAATTTAAAAAGAAGATAAAAAGTATATAGGCTCATACAAATAATTTAAATGGCAAAAATAGTCTAGCTATATTTGCTAGTGGGAAATCTTCTCATGCAAACCTTGTGCTTTTAAATATCCCTTTTGATAAAGAAATTGATGTTTATTTGAAAACTCCTGGCATGGATATTCCAGTTCAAGTTTAATTTGATAAGATAGCTCATGGCTGTTCAGATGAGTGAGATGAACAATTAAATGCTGAGCATGACTTGGAAATAGCTGCTAAGGCTTTGCTATGCTCACATAATAAAGTCATTCATGCAGTAACAAGTGTTACACTGCCATTAGGAGAATATTTGCATTTCATAACTTATGAAAATATTTGGTCCTTCTTGTTTATCTTTTGCATTTGCAAATGATTTTATTTTCATTTGATGTGAAAATTTTGTTAACACCAGCAATGGCTTTTTAAAGGGATTTTGCAAAGCCTCTGTAATAGTGAGCATATCAAGATATTTGTTATCAGAAGAATACCAGACTTTTACCAGCAGTGTTTTATTATTTCAACTGGATTTGTTCTCATGCACATCAGTGTACAAATTAGATCAAGGTTTCAGTGAGCATCATAAAATGCTACTAGAAAACAGGAAGGTAATATTATTAGATCACTAACAATCATTGCTCAGGCAGTACAAATTGCCCAGATCCTAACTTGTTAAATAATTTTGCAAAACAAGTCTACGGTGCCTACCAAATTACCATGTGATTTAAAACAATACAGTGGGCATCGTAATAAGGTCTCAGCTAAAACTGAACTGCTGAATACAGGCATTTTTATAAATAAAATTTGAATCTAGGAAAAATGCATAGTTTATTGTTTGTTATTATTTAAGATGTAGGCCCGGTTGCTGTAGGGACAAAAATTTACAGACAAGAAATAATGGAAGACAGAAATTTCATTTTCCACTTTGTATGACATGGAATCTAGGGCGATAACGGACATTTATGATGTGCTCAGACTTTCTAATTCGAAACCAGCCTTCCCCAAGTCCTGCTCACGTGCACGTGAGTGCAGATGTCTTCAAAGGGAGGGGGCTGAATGGAGGAAGAGGAGTGGGGAGCCCCCATCACAGGCACGGAGGAAACCCCATCTTCATTCCTTCCCATCTGTCTGGGAGAACGTGGTCATGGAATAAGGCGTAACAGGTTTTCATTACAGGAAAAATGGTAGAAGTGATTGCCAGGGATACGATAGTCTTCCAAAGTGAAGATAGATTCACATCCTGGCAGTGCCAACGTGCTAGACTAGTGGACAACCGCGAAAACACAGACTAGCTGTCAGGGCCAACGCAGTGATGTGGATAAACACAGGTAGACAGGATCTTCTCTTGCCCCTGTTACTCCTTTGCGCTCTGTTTGCACCAAACCTTCTAATCTAAAAATTTTCGATTGATGTTTGGCTGAGATCAATAGGCAAGATACACTGTGATGGGAAGAATGGGTTTGTTTTGTAAGTTTACTGGGAAAAAGAAAAATTAGACCTTTTATTCTCTTTCTCCTTTTAATTTCAAGAAAGATAACTTACAGTTGAATACTCCAATTTAAAACATTGCGTTCTGTCCACAAACATCAATATCCAGCGTAACAGCTCTAATGGCAGGTGGTTCTGAGTCTACCGACAATGAACATCATCTTCCAGTTTTCATTGACTTTTCACTGCCTTTCCGTTCCAGGAAAACTGAATATCGAAGAAGTGATTGAGATAAGCAGAGGAACATGAATTGGGTGGACTGCTTCCTGAATGAAATGAAGTGAAGATAAATGGTAAGTTTCTTCGTGATGTTTATCTCCTCATTTATTTCTACATAATTATTTTATAAGTTAGTGAGAGAAGACTAAGCCATTAATGATAATACTCGATTTGTCTATTTTTTTCTTTTGGTCCTGTCCATTTTTGTCTCCTGTGATTTTATTTATTTTTATTTTTTTGTTGGAGTAACATGGCACGATAAAGTTAAGTTTCAGGTGTGAGTCTTTAAAAATCAACATGTGTCTACACTACTCCACACTAAACGGTAAAATCTATCACGCAGTTGATTCCTTGTACCCATTTCACTGACCCTCTTCCCTTCTGTTAAACAATAATTGAGCTGATAGTCTGAAAGTGTACTTTTGTTTTATTTAGTTTGTTTGTTCTCTCTCCATACCACATGTGAGTGAATTTTTAGGTGTTTGTGTTGTTGCCAATGGCAGAATCTCATCTTTTGTTATCACTGAGCAGTGAATCTCGGTTGTCAAGGGACACACACTTGTCCTATCGTCTTCAAGAACTGCCCCTTTTGTCATTTCTGCCCCTCTTCAAAAAGAGTCTTGCAAGGATCCACATTGTTTACGTTTCCATATTTGGCACATATTAAAATTAATACTCTCACAGCTTTCTCAGTCTGGTTTTTGAGATAAAATTATCTAGAACTTGGAAATGAAGGAAATAAGACTCTAGGATTACAACTGATCAGCCAAGATCCAAATACAAATCCAGACAGGGCTGTAGCCAGTTGTCCAACTAAGACAGAGGACAGTCTTTCCCAACTTCTCACGCTGATGGAAGACAAAGAGCCGGATGTTATGTCATGTGTCTTTCCACTCAAATATTTCTTTACCTGCCACATAGTCATGCTCTTCCCTGAATTTAAGTCTCCAGACTGTGACTTTACTGTCCATGTGTCAGCATCGGTGTGCATTTCTCTTGCATTAGTTTTCTGAAACTGATATTTTTGTTAAGTTGATATTGCTTAATCTAAAGAGGAATGTAATAGAGGAGAGATGCCTTGCTGGCGGATGATAAATAGCTATGCAACATGGTGCCAGGAAGTTGCAAACTTTTACCCCTTCACTTATTATTCGATTAGTGCTGATACCCTTGCCATTACAGTAGCCACTAAGATTTACATAGAATCAAAGAATTGCCAGCACTAAAAGAACGCGGTCACTCTGCTGACAGATGCAAATAATGGAGAGGATCTCCAACTGGAACACACATTCCTTCTGACGGTTTTCTAATCTCAGTATGTTCTTATCAACTAGCAGCCCATCAAGATATAAAAAGAAAGCTCAGTTAATTATGCAGCAACAGTGTTGCTATACGTCACTGACCTTTTCAAAATTCTTTTTTTTTTGGTCAGTGGTTCATAAAGCATTTCACCAAAGACATAAAAAATAAACAACAAAAGGTCATTGTTTTAGGCTATTTTTCACAAATGATTAAAGGAAAGGAAAAACTCTCTTAGTTCTGCATTTTTTTTCAATACTTTGAAAATGATATTTTTCAGTTAGACTTTTTTGGGAAATTCTGTATTAAGTGCAAAGCTAATTAAATATCCAGAATAACAAGTGTGGCTCAGTTCCTCAGGCCCTTGGATAAGCCGCCAGGGCACCAAGAACCTCTGACAGGTTTGCATGTTAAGAGAAATCTGCCCTTTCTTCCTGATAGGAGGTCGTAGATTGTTCACAACAGATTTTTGTATTTCTCTTGCTGGTTTAGCAAAATGTGAGTGAATTATTTTCATGGATGTTTATGAAAAAGCAAAATGTCTCGTTAATTTTATAAATTGGTTAATTATAAAAATACATGTTTCATCTGCTTTCCATGTAAACACACACAACACCTGTGTAGAATCCTTGATTCGATAAATAGCTGTGGAATGTCTAGCAACTAACAGGCTCTGTTCTGGGCACTAAAGATACTGTCGTGAGAGGGGAAAAGAGAAAAACTGTGACCAAATGAGAATGTATTCCAGTGTTGGACACGGAAACGTGTGTGTGTGTTCACCTCTAGAGAGAGAGAGAGTGTGCATGTATAGGTAGTGAGTTACTTACTTAGTAAGTCAGTTAGAAATATATAGTAACCCAAGGGAACTGGAAAAGAAAATTTCTTTTTTTTTTTTAAAGATTTATTTATACTTATGCAAGAGCTGGGGTACAGGCCAGAGGTGCAGGGGTTGAGAGGATTCACCAGAGTCAGAGCGGGGAGCATAACAGGCAGACTGACTGAAATACACTGCTGAGGGGAGCAGCAGGTAAGCCAGGAGAGGTCTGCTGCGCCATGTGGGTTTCTCTCTGGCCGGCTGGGGATTGAACTCATGCTGCAGAGGCTGCGGATTGCTTCATAGTGGGGTGCTTAACCCCTTGCGCCACGGGAGGCCCCCAGATTTTGTTAGTTTTTATTTGGAAATGAAGTGTGACTCAAGGAGATGGGTAGGGTGCCCTGATTTTATTTTTATTTATTTTTTAAAGATTTATTTATTTATGCATACAAGAGCTGGGGTACAGGCCAGAGATGTGGGGGGTGAGAGGATTCACCAGAGACAGAGTGGGGAGAAGAACAGGCAGATTGACTGAAATCCACTGCTGAGGGGAGCAGCGGGAAAACAGGAGAGGTCTGCTGCGCCATGTGGCTTTCTCCCTGGCCGGGGATCGAACTCATGCTGCAGAGGCTGTGGGTTGCTTCATAATGTGGTGCTTAACCCCTTGCGCCACCAGGGAGGCCCTAGGAAAGGAAATTTCAAACAGAGCCAACCGCAGTCTGGTCGCTGTGAGGTGCAGGGAGCCTCTGTGGATGTTCAAGAACAACCAGGGAGACTGGAGACGGGACAGTGACAGTGACAGGGTGACTGACTGATGCCTCGGAGAGGTCATGGGAACAGGATTACACAGCGCCAGTTAGCCACAGAGCTTTGGCTTCTGTTCTGCTGTTCTAATCTGATTTACATCTTCACAAATCTCCGGAATGGCTAGATTGCAAATCCTGGAGGGGAGGCATGACTAGAAGAGCGTGCTACCAAGGACACTCTCAGGTAACACAGAGGTTTGACGAAGACGTGGCTTTGTCCGGGGTGATGACAGATGGTCTGGCTGGGGGCACTGCTTAAAGACAGCCTGCAGGGTTTAAACACGCAGTAGCTCGCTGTGTTGCTATCTGGGGAGTCTTTTTTCTTATATTTTCCTGAGATTAAATGAGAAAGTGACAAAAAGTGTTGCTTATCGGTGGGGGTAATAGGAGCAGAACAGATCTTGTCAGTAGAATTTAATATTCTTGATGAATTTGAAAAGGAGGAATAAATCATCTACTCCAAAATAAAACATTTAGATCCAGGTTTATATCCTTAATTTTTTTAAACTATTTTGCAATAGAGTCTTTTTTTTTTTTTTTAAGATTTGCTTATTTATACAAGCACTGGGGTACAGTCAGAGGCGCGGGAGGGTGAGAGAATTCTCCAGAGACAGAGCGGGGAGCAGAACAGGCAGACGGACTGAAGACACTTCTGAGGGGAGCAGCGGGGAGACACGAGAGGTCTGCCGTGCCGTGTGGAAATCTCCCTGGCCAGCCGGGAATCGAACCCGCACTGCAGAAGCTGCGGACAGCTTCACAGCGCGGCGCTCAACCCGCTGCACCACTGGGGAGGCCCTATATCCTTAATGTTAATGCTAATTGATCTTTCAAGACTTGGCTTCCTATTTTTATGCTAAAAATGAAGGCTAATTTTATTCATATGTATTTATCAAGAAAAACAGCATAAAGTGGGACACATTGATTTCAAGTCTAAATCTCTAACATATTTCTATGCTATATAGAAAAATATTAGAAATACTTTTTTTTTCTATGAAATATACCTGACATATGACATTGTGTAAATTGAAGGAATACAACACATTGGTTTGAAACATGTCTACCTTGTAAGGCAACTTCTGTTGTAACTAGAGCCCACACCTCCACCACATCAGAGTTATCACTTCTTTTTTGTGATAGAAAAAACTAAGGTCTGGTCTCTTAGCGGGTTTGATGGTTATGACTCCATTGTCTCTCTCTTCAGACTGCGCATTAGGCCCCAGGACACACAGAGCTCCACTTGACGGTGCATTAGCAAACCATTCCTTGTATTTTCACGAAGAAAGACCCCATTATCTTTTCCAGTCAGGCATTTCCTATTAGTTTTGACTTCTTTAAAGGGTAACGGAAACACATTTTCAATGAAGGCCTTTTCTGTGTGAGGTGTTTTTAAAATTAACAGGCCTGCTCTTTCTGTTTTGCGCGCCTTCCACATTTAGGAGCTTACTGCTAACTGCTTTGTTGCTTAAATGAACACCCTGGTGGTGACAAAGTGGCGGCAGGTGCCTGCACTGCCATCGCTTAATCCCATCAGGGTGAGGGGGTGAGCTCTGAGATGGGGTGGAGGGGATGCCAGCATCCTTGTGGCCTTATTATCCCTTGCAGAGGGGAAAAGGCAACTCTGAAGAATGTGATTATGTAACTTCACCTACCACAAGGTTAAATCCCCACTTACTCATGTCAAAGCAACTCTCACCTCCAAGACCACCAGGGTCTGTTCGTGAGTCTGACCCACTTCTGTTCCCTCTGCTGAGTTTCTCATACACGAGGTTTTCACTGCAGATTGTAATTCAATGCAGATTTTTAGATTTTTTCCTATTTCATCCTCCTTAATATGTGCTATATACTTCTGGGGGTCAGGGGCACACAGCATATTGTTGGATCTGAGTGGTGCCATGTCACGTGTAAGATGCATGTGAAGGTGCTTTGAGGCAAAGCAACACCTATGACTGGTCAACAATTTTAATTTGCCAATGTATGTTAGAACCCGGTTTAACAAATATATTCTAACGAAACAATAGTTAAAATCTAAATGTCTTTTGGTAACATTTAATTATCTACCAATAACTAGATCATCCTAACAATTTCTTTCACTTGAGAACTTTAACAGCCATTTGAAATCTCTAAATTTTTAATTGAAATCTACTTGACT